TTTAAACTCCTAATATTTGCAGATTTGAAGTATATATGTGCAATATAAGCAGCACACAGAACAAAAACAGAGCATTGTGTGAGTATTACACTATAATCTCTCTCAAAAACACACACGTTTATTTGAACAGTGCACAAATGAACACAAGATGGCAATGTTGTACACAGTTGACTATATTAAGACATCCTCAAAACTCAAAACGACACTGGAGTTCGAGTTTCTTCGTAAACTGGGATCTCTTTCATTCTTAAACAGCAATGTTACACACTACAGAAGTGTATAAAGCATGAAGTGTCACCCTTTAAAGGTGTAAATGAATGATTTTTTTTCCATTAAAATATCTAAAACTAACTAGACTAGTGTTATATAGGCCACAACTCCCATGATTTCCCACTCAGCCATGCGCTCGTCAAGCTCTGCATTTGTTTGTTGTGTATAAACGCCCTCTAGTGGTGAAAACCACACATTGTGCCTCTAAAGCACAGGTGTCAAATCCAGTTCCTGGAGGGCCGCAGCTTTGTGCAGTTTATTTCCAAACCTGCTTCAACACTCCGAACTGTAGCCTGAAAGACTCGATTAGATTAATCAGGTGTGTTTGATTAAGGTTAAAGCTAAACTGCAGAGCTGCGGCCCTCCAGGAACTGAGTTTGACACCTGTGCTTTAAAGTTAATAAAATGTGTTTGATTACCTGAGACGGTCACATCCTTCACGTTCCTGTTGGAGCTGTTGTCAATCTCCACACTGATGTTGATCTCCTCTCCATGATAATACGTCTGAAACATCAACAGTTCCGATTTAGTTTTGGTTTTTATGTAAGGAGCAATTAGGGATTGGTTGTTGAAGCATTAGTGCGAGGCAGTGGCGCAGTAGGTAGTGCAGCAAGAAGGTCGCTGGTTCGAACCTCGGCTCAGTTGGCGTTTCTGTGTGGAGTTTGCATGTTCTCCCTGCCTTCGCGAGGGTTTCCTCCGGGTGCTCCGGTTTCCCCCACAGTCCAAACACATGCGGTACAAGTGAATTGAGTAGGCTAAATTGTCTGTAGTGTATGAGTGTGTGTGTGAATGTGTGTATGGATGTTTCCCAGAGACGGGTTGCGGCTGGAAGGGCATCCGCTGTGTAAAAACTTGCTGGATAAGTTGGCGGTTCATTCCGCTGTGGCGACCCTGGATTAATAAAGGGACTAAACCGACAAGAAAATGAATGAATGAATGAATGTTGAAGCGTTAGATTAATAATGTCAGGGCTTCATCACCACCACAGATGTGCATTGTTTACCAATAATTCAACAGGCTGGAGTCAATTGTTCCACTTATTCACTCTTCAGATGTTGTTTTTGAGACATTTGTCAGGTTTCTGTCCAACTCAAACTGCTCCTGTGTGTAGCTCTAGTTTCATACACATCTCCTCCAGAGCCGTCTGTTGTGTTTCGATGTGATTTTTGACTGTTGTAAAAACTCAAATTATTCAGCGGAGTGATATGGAGCTGTAATGCGCTCAAAACCTGCAGGAACTACTTTATTTCAAAATAACGGCATACCTTAAGGCCCGGGTATTCTTCAAACAACAATGTTTTCGGCCAAAAAGAAGTTTGAAAATGTTGAGTGAGGGTAAACTATGCTTTTGAAACATTCCGACATCCGCTCGGCATGTGTTTACATTGACTACCAATTGAAAAGTAGTGCGTTGGAAAGGACAAATCAATTCTGTGTGAATCCTTACTCTGCTACTCCATCCTCCAGTGTATTCATGTTACTAACTTGCCGTTGCTGTGCTTTACGTTTTTCTCTTTTGTCTGACTCTGAACTGTATGGTGGATACAAAACATGTAAAAGAAGGCGGAGTTTCAGAACACACCCACTGATTGCATAATCATCAGAGACAAAGGACAGCTCAAATGTATTTAGAAGCCAAAACAACCCCCCCCCCCCAAAAAAAAGTTTACTGTTTCGAACTGCTAAAATAAAGCCAAAAAAATATTGTTGAGGCTGGATTTTTAAAAACTTTTTATTAGGGCTGTCAAAATTAGCGTGTTAACGCATGTGATTAATTAAAAATATTTAATTCGTTAAACCCCCCCCTCCCCCCCAAATAACGCAGTTGCATTTTTTTTTCCTGTTGTTGCCGACGTGTGTTCAAGGCCAGCGCGTCCATAGAGGCGACCTTAGTGGCCCACTTGGGCAGCAGAATAGTGAGCGAATCCCCCGGTCCTCACTTTCATCCGCTACAACCACCCCTTCCTCACGATCCTCACTTTCATCCACTACACCCACCCCCTCCCTCATGATCCTCACTTTCATCCGCTACACCCACCCCCTCCTCACGATCCTCACTTTCATCCACTACACCCACCCCCTCCCTCATGATCCTCACTTTCATCCGCTACACCCACCCCCTCCTCACGATCCTCACTTTCATCCACTACACCCACCCCCTCCCTCATGATCCTTACTTTCATCCGCTACACCCACCCCCTCCCTCATGATCCTCACTTTCATCCGCTACACCCACCCCCTCCCTCATGATCCACACTTTCATCCGCTACACCCACCCCCTCCTCACGATCCTCACTTTCATCCACTACACCCACCCCCTCCCTCATGATCCTTACTTTCATCCGCTACACCCACCCCCTCCCTCATGATCCTCACTTTCATCCGCTACACCCACCCCCTCCCTCATGATCCACACTTTCATCCGCTACACCCACCCCCTCCCTCATGATCCTCACTTTCATCCGCTACACCCACCCCCTCCCTCATGATCCCCACTTTCATCTGCTACACCCACCCCCTCCCTCATGATCCTCACTTTCATCCGCTACACCCACCCCTTCCTCACGATCCTCACTTTCATCCGCTACACCCACCCCTTCCTCACGATCCTCACTTTCATCCGCTACACCCACCCCCTCCCTCATGATCCTCACTTTCATCCGCTACACCCACCCCCTCCCTCATGGTTCCCACTTTCATCCACTACACCCACTCCCTCCCTCATGATCCTCACTTTTATCCGCGAACCGGTCACTTTCTTTTTCACTTTCGGGTTGAGGACGGAGTAAATGCCATTTGCCTAGGGCGCCAGTTCAGTTTGCTCCTGCCCTGCGTGTGTTTAACATGCAAAGAAATTTGGATAAGACCAAGGACGCGCTTTTGGAAGGAGTTTCAGTATAAAACAATTAATGTCGCATCAGCAGGCTATCCTGCATTTCCTTCAGTTTCATGCAATTTGGGGTGTTTCATTTCTAATCTTTAGACTTTAACAGCAGTTCAGCAGTTCACTCTCGTTCAGCAGATTTTCATTCAGGATGTTTTAATGGAGTTTGATACCGCATAGCGAACTGAAAGAAAAACCTCCGCATTTCAGGACTCGCGTAATCCTTTAAGGGAATCAAAATTCTTTGCTTACATGCTCGACCCTTAAGCAGTATTATCTTACTCATAAAATCTGAGTATTGGTGTCCATGTGAATGTACTGTAGTGAAAGTGCCAGATGAAGTCGCAAGCCGTCAAAGACAGCCCTATTCTCTGCCTCTAAGCTGCTTCCATGAGCCCTCATATTTCATTAGTTTGATGTGTTTCCCCCCTACACGCAACTTTTGTAAAGCGTCTGCTTCACATTGCTGTGTCAGAATCCTTGCTTGTAAAATACAGCCATACTTTAAAACGCTTAGTTTAAGCAAATTTGATCAACGCGATCGGGCGTGTACTGCACTGTACTGCACGCGTTGTGTTTTGAAATTTTTATGGCGCTTGCATGCCTGTGTTTTTATTTCTATAATAAATACGGCATTTCGTGATTAATCATGATTATTTCCCAAAAAAGTGTGATTAATTACGTTAATGTTTTTAATCATTCGACGGGCCAGCTTTTTATGTATAGTCATGAACACACTTGTTTGTAGAGTTATTTCTAGTCATATTTCCCCATAGGAAACTGAATCAGAAGTTCTAAAACAATCATAAAAACAAGCACACTTCTGCATTACAGAATGAAGTAAATACCATCAGCCAATCAGAATGATCAATATATATATATTAGAATACCATCATTCAACAGACCAATAAAATAAAGGATATTTATGGTTGCTAAAAATCCAAGAATAGGTCAGAACACACCTCTTTTTCCAGACTGACACGCATATGCAGCGGTTTATCCGACATGATGAATTCACAGGTAGTTTCTCCGGCTGGAGGCTCGCCGCCTTTATCTGGAGCGTACTGGATCTTTCTGATGGCCAACCGCACTGAACTCCTGCAGATCACAGAGAGATCTTTATACTGATCATATTAAATCTGTCACTGCATTTCACTCTTTTTATATCTAAAAGAGCCAATATTGTGCCAGATACTGAAGTTTACACAAAAAAAACATTTTGGAGATAAAATAATTACCGAAAAGAGGAGATTACTGAAAACTTGATCATACAAAATGTCAAAGTATCGTTATTAAAAACACACAAGATGTTTCAGATTACAATTTTTGAGCCTCATTTTTGTACCATCACCCTGCTGAAAAATCCAGCTTAAACCAGCCTAGGCCTTGTTTTAGAGGGGTTTTGGCCACTTCCAGGCTGGTTTCCAGCCATTTCCAGCCTGGTCTTAGCTGGTCAAGCTGGGAGATGACCAGCTAAAACCAGCTTGACCAGCCTAGCCAAGCTGGGTGTCCAGCCAAAACAAGCTATATCCAGCTTTAACCAGGCTGGTCAAGCTGGTTTTAGCTGGATTTGGCTGGTCATTTTTCAACCTGACCAGCTAAGATCAGGCTGGAAATGGCTGGAAACCAGCCTGGAAATGGCCAAAACCCCTCTTAAACCAGGCTGGTCGACCAACTAAAACCAGCCAACCAGCCTAAGCTGGTTTAAGCTGGAATTTTCAGCAGGGCAGGACTGGGCTTTGGCATCAAAGTGTCTTATGTTTGTCATGTTTTTTTCTTTAAATTGGTCTGGTCAAGAAAATTGTGCGATTGTGATTTTTCTTACCTCTTTTGGGCTTTTTCATCCTGATTTTCTGCACAGAAGGCCTTCACTTCAAACTCCACAGCACATTGCTGCACAAACACACAAACAGATCTTTTAGAAATTCAATGATAAAACTCAATGATAAAAAGAACATATATATATATATATATATATATATATATATATATATATATATATATATATGAGCAAAATCACACATATGGCTGTATATCAGCACTGGTGGGAGGCGTGTGTTGTTGCCTTAGTGCTACTCGTGTGATATTGCGTTTATACAACAGTTTGACGGCATAATTGTGTATATAAAAACAAAATCAAACATGGAGAGTCTCAAAAACCCTTTTGTATGAGGAACTACTTTCTTCCGCGTTGGATTCAAATCATAAGCAAAGAGCTTAGAATGTCCAAGAGGCGACACTCTAGTGTAATTTGGGAAACAGCCACTAGAGGGCGCGGCGGCAATTTTGGAATGAAAACTCCAATAGAACAACAGCATATTATAAGTCTGTTAAATAAACTATTAAAAGTGCTGATGATTGTCATAGTAAGTGTTGTATTGACGTCTTTCAGGTTGAATCTCAGCTTTATTGCACTTTTTAAATAAATAAATAAAAAACAAAGCAGCTGCTTGCCATCGCGACAGTAATGAGATTCAATGGACGGCCGATCACTTTCACTCCAAAATGGCAGAATCCGGGGCTGTTGCTGGGCGCTGCTGTTGCAATGGAACGTTCTATTGAGTGCCGCCTCTTGGTCATTCTAAGCTCTTTGTCATAAGCTGACAGTTAAACAGCTGAGCGTGCATCTTTTAAACTTTAGATCTGTAGTGTCTGCTTGTTTCTGGCTATATGTGGGTGGAGTAATACACAAAGGGTAAAGAGGCTGCACGGGTGCTGATATTACTTAAATATATCACAGCTATCAGCCAATCAGATTCGAGAACCGGACATATATATATATATATATATATAATTTTTTTAATTACTATAATAAATGTTTATTAATGTAATTTATTTACATACATTCCATAACTATATTTTAATGCTTCAAAGAAAAGATATAGCTTAATTTAATAAACACACACACAAATACTCAAGTTAAAGGAAATTTAAAATATTTTAAAAATTAAGCAGTTTTTCCTCAGCTTTGTTGTTGCCAAAGCAACATTTCAAATATTCATGTAGTTTTATGATTCAAATAATAAGCTAAAAGTGACGTGATAGATAATGTACAACCATGTAAATAAATATAGAAAAACATTAAATTGTATATTTTGCATATAAAAAAATGTATGAGCTGTTAAAAATATATTTAGTTTACATTTTCAGATATAATTTACATATAAATGTATAATGGCAATGAAAATGTAAACAAAATATATTTTTAACAGCTAATAAAAATGACTAAACCCCCCAAAAAACTAAATCAAAGTTAACTACACTATACACTCACCGGCCACTTTATTAGGTACACCTTACATCTAAGGCACACTTTTTCCTTTAGAACTGCATTAATCCTTCGTAGCATAGATTCAACAAGGTGCTGGAAATATTCCTCAGATATTTTCCTCCATATTGACATGATAGCATCTCAGGTAGGCTGTGGCGTTGACAGGATGCTCAATTGGTACTAACGGGCCCAAAATGTGCCAAGAAAATCTCCCCCACACCATTACACCACCACCAAGCTGTACCACTGATACAAAGCAGTATGGATCCATGCTTTCATGTTGCTGATGCCAAATTCTGACCCGACCATCTGAATGTGTCAGCAGAAATGGAGACTCATCAGAGCAGGCAACGTTTCTCCAATCTTCTATTGTCCAGTTTTGGTGAGTCTGTGTGAATTGTAGCCTCAGTTTCCTGTTCTTAGCTGACAGGAGCGGCACCCGGTGTGCTCTTCTGCTGCTGTAGCTCATCCGCCTCAAGGTTGGACCTCTTGTGTGTTCAGAGATGCTCTTCTGCAGAGCTCGGTTGTAACGAGTGCTTATTTGAGTTACTGTTGCCTTTCTATCAGCAGGAACCAGTCTGGCCATTCTCCTCTGACCTCTGGCATCAACAAGGCATTTGCGCCCACAGAACTGCAGCTCACTGGATATTTCCTCTTTTTCAGACCATTCTCTGTAAACCCTAGAGATGGTTGTGTGTGAAAATCCCAGTAGATCATCATCATGAAATACTCAGACCAGCCCGTCTGGCACCAACAACCATGCCATGTTCAAAGTCACTTAAGTCTTCCCCATTCTAATGCTCAGTTTGAACTGCAGCAGATCGTCTTGACCATGTCTACATGCCTAACTGCATTGAGTTGCTGCCATGTGATTGGCTGGTTAGAAATTTGCGTTAACGAGCAGTTGGACAGGCGTACCTAATAAAGTGGCCGGTTAGTGTATACACCACACTACTGTATGTACACACATAAGGTCAAAATTAAATTAAGATTAAAGAAAAACAGAAAAAATAAACAAAGATAAAATACAACTGATTCAAACTAATAAACATTACAATAACATCAGGTCAGCGAGTGCTTATGTTTAGATGTTTGTTTGTTATTTACCTTTCCTACATCGGTGGGCGCCGGCTGCAGAGTCACTGAACAGGGCAGGTTATCTGGAAACTAAGAGAAAAATCATAACATCTCAAACCCACTCGCTCCAAAAACTCACAACAGTCAGTCAGTAAATGAGTCTGTACGACTGATCACCTCAAAGAAAAAAGGATGAGCGTTGACTCCCAGTTTGCGCAGGATCTTCTCCTGCACTTTAGTGTGAATGCTGCGCTCTTTATCCTGCAGAGGAGGATAAACCTGCCGCGTGCACAGGAAAATATCCCTGCGAAACGCCATCCCCATCACATCCATGTCCTCGCGACCGTAGCGGAAGGTGCAGGAGAGCATCACGAACACTGGAGGAGGTCAGAGGCTGCTTTCATTAATCCACACAGAGTTCATAACCGCATTATGAGCTCATGTAGTTTTATACTAACAATCTCACCTTTCTTATCTTTCACCTGCTCTGGGTCGATCAGCACAACGCCATCTGAAAAATCATGTAGTCTTATATTAATGTTTTTATTGTCGAGTCACTTTTTAATTCTTGTTTATTATTTGTTGTTATTTATTTATTAAACACCAGTAAAGATTGCATATGAAAGGTGTTTAATAACGTGTTTAATAATTAAATCCGCTTTTTTTTAAAGGTATATTTTCATTTTAATTAGTTCATTATTTAATTAGTAATTTATTCAATCATTTTCCTTCGGATAAGTCCTTTATTCTTCAGGGGTTGCCACAGCGGAATGAACCGCCAACAATTCCGGCATACGTTTTACGCAGCAGATGCCCTTCCAGCAGCAACCCGGTACTAGGAAACAGCCATTCACACACACACTCATACACTACGGCCAATTTAGCTTATTTAATTCACTTATGTTAAGACTGTGAGGGAAACCGGAGCACCTGCCTATGCCAACTTTAGAAGAACATGCAAACTCCACACAGAAATGCCAACTGCCAGGATATCTTTATTTAAAATTAACTTTTAGGTCTATTAGTTGTAGTAATAAGCATCAATAAACAAGTTATTATATATATTAACACAACAGTTCTGTCTGGTTGTCAAATCTGATTGGCTGATAGCCGTGTGATATTCTACAATAGCAGCACTCTTACAGCCTTTTCACTTTTGTGTATTACTCCGCCCACATAGAGTGACAGCAGATCAATAAACTCACTACAGTTTGACAAATATTGCAGCTGTTGGACAACATCATGTACTTTTTAGGCATTTTAGTCGAGAATTTAGTTGTTTAGATGGCCAGAGACTGAATAGTATGTTATTAGAGGAGAAAAACTCAAAAAACAAATTATTAGAGAACAGGTGAGTGACTTTGTAAGTAGATCTCTCTCTTTTTTTATGTTGCAGTGCTGCAAGTATACCATAGTAAAATGATGTTTGCTTCACTTTGGCTTTTTCAGGAGTAATTATTGTAATCTTCAGATTGCAACCGAGAAATACTTGTAAATGTGTAGACTGATGGCATTTGATGTTGTTCAGCCTTATAATCTTAAAATGTCAGCAAAATCCCCTGCTTGGTCATCACTTTAGACATTACGCTAGAGAATCACTCCAGCACTAGCTCTAAAGTGACGATGGTGAATTAGCAGTTTCTGCAGATGTGAATGAATGGTGGAAGAAAGTAGTTCCTAATACAAAAGGATTTTTAGAGTCCGTGTTTGAATTACATTTTTTTATACACACAATTATGCCGCTGACCTGTTGTATAAACGCAATATCACACTCGTAGCAATGCGTTATGGCTGTATATCATCACTTGTGGGACACTAAGGCACTTGGCCTGTGGTCTTGAGCCAACGCACGGCTCCCCTCAGTGACAATATACAGCCATATCGCACTGCTACTCATGTAATATTGCGTTTATACAACAGTTTGATGGCATAATCTTGTAAATAGTATAAATCAACGGCATAATCGTGTCTATCATGTATAAAATATATATTTTATAAATAAAAATAAATTAATAAATTAAATAAATTGACACAAACTTTAATAATCTTTAATTAATAAACTAATACAGTAAAACAGAAACAGAATAAATATATATCCATACAAAAATATATGCAAAAAGAATATTTACTGACATCAGAGAACCACAAATTAAAATATAATTTTATAAATATAATATAATATAAAATTAAATAATATAATATAATATAAAATTAAATAATATAATAAAAAAAATAATATAATATATATATATATAAAAAACTATATTTACAACTAAAATCTAACTTGGAAAAAAAAATCTCAAATCAGTTCAGGTCCCGTTTAGGATTCCCTGTGACCATATCCGATTGCTTATATACTAATATTTGTACATAATAAACATTATTAAACTCTAGTTTACTAGTAAACTCTAGTAGTATATTTTTGTATATTATTACTATTACTATAGCTGTGATTGGTTGTTAAACTCACCAACAGGATCAACAAAATCACAGTGGTCCACGAAATCTCGCTTCCCCATGTAAACGCCCACCTATGACATCATACACTGTTAACCAATCACTGAAGCACACATTTATATAGAATGGACAGAGTCATATTTAGACAGATACTGACAGATTTATCTCTGGAGATTTTCTTGTAGATGATGTGCTTGGGACTCATTCTGTCTCCTACAGCAGAAAAACAAACAAGGAGGATTGATAAAAATTTATATTGCATTACATAAAAAAACACACACGATCAGGGGTTCTAGTTCTAAGCTGATGAGTGACTGCACTCTAATCTATCTATCATCTATCTATCTATCTATCTATCATTTTATTCATTGTTCAATCTATTTTTCTAGTCATTGTCCAATCTATCTATTGTTTTATCAATTGTTCAGTCTACTGTTCTCACTATTGTTCAATATATTGTTCTATCCATTGATCAATCTATCGTTATATCAATCGATCAATCTATCTAGTTTTATCCATTGTTCAATCTATCATTCTATCCATTATTTAATCTGTCATTCTGGTCATTGTTCAATATATTATTCTGGTCATTGTTCAATCTATCATTATATCTATTATTTAATCTATCTTTGTAGTCATTGTTCAATATATTATATTAGTCATTGTTCAATCTATCATTCCTTCCATTGTTCAATCTATCATTATATCTAATATTCAATCTATCATTCTAGTCATTGTTCAATATATTATTCCAGTCACTGTTCAATCTATCATTCTATCCATTGTTCAATCTAGCATATCTATTATTCAATCTATCATTCTAGTCATTGTTCAATATATTATTCGAGTCACTGTTCAATCTATCATTCTATCCATTGTTCAATCTAGCATATCTATTATTCAATATATCATTCTAGTCATTGTTCAATATATTATTCGAGTCACTGTTCAATCTATCATTCTATCCATTGTTCAATCTATCATTATATCCATCATTCAATCATTCTATCCATTGTTCAATCTATCATTATATCCATTGTTCAATCTATCATTATATCCATTATTCAATCTATCCTTCTATCCATTGTTCAACATATTATTCTAGTCATTGTTCAATCTATCATTCTTTCCATTGTTCAATCTATCTGTTTTATCAATTGTTTAGTGTATTGCTCCGTCCATTGTTCAATCTATCATTTTCTGCATTATCCATTCTGTTTTATCAATAGTTCAATCTACAGTTCTGTTCACTGATCAATCTATCTATTGTTTAATCAATTGTTCAGTCTATCATTCTATATACTATTCAATCTATTGTTCTATCAATTATTCAATCTATCATTCTCTGCACTGTCCAATCCATCAAATGTTTTATCAATTGTTCAGTCTATTTATTATCCATTGATCAATCTATCATTCTATGCGTTGTTCAATATATAATTCTATCCATTGTTCAATTTATCTGTTTTATCAAATGTTTAGTGTATTGTTCTATCCATTGTTTAATCTATCATTCTATAGATTGCTCAATCTACCTATTGTTTTTTCAATTGTTCAATCTACCATTTTATCCATTGTTCGATCTATCTTTCTATTCATTGTTTAAACTATCATTCTAGTCATTGTTTTATCTATCATTCTATAGACGGCCCAATTTTTCTATTGTTTTATCAATTTTTCAATGTATCATTTTATTCAATGTTCAATCTATCAATTCTATTGATTGTTTTACATATTGTTCAAATATATTATTTTATCAATTTTTAATTGAACTATCATTCTATCCACTGTTTAGTCTGTCCATCCTTCTATAAATTGTTTAATCTACAATTCATCTATTGTTATATCAATTGTTCAATCTACCATTTTATCCATTGCCCAATCTATCATTCTATCCATTGTTCAAATATATCATTCTATACAACGTTCAGTCTGTCCATCCTTCTATCAATTGTTAAATCTGCCTATCCTTTAATCCATTGTTCAATCTATTTATCTATTGTTCAATTTATCTTTCATTCTATCCCTTGTTTAATCTATTCATCATTCTATCTATTGTTCAATCTAACAATCTATTGACTGTTTTCTCCTATTGTTCAACTGTATTGATTGTTTCATCAATCTACCTATCTATCTATTTAATTTATCTTTAATTCTATCCATCCTTCAATCCATTGTTCAATCTTTCTATTGTTTTAACTATTAATCTACAATTGCAGTTTGATTTATATTTCATTCTTTCCACTGTTCAATCTATCATGCTATTGATTGTTCAGTCTGTCCATACTTCTATCAATTGTTTAATCCATCCATCCTTCAATTGTTTTACCCATTATCTATCAATCAATCTACGTATCTACCTAATGTTCAATTTATATTTCATATTATCACTATGTCAATCCATATAATGTTATCCATTGATCAACTTTTCCATCATTCTATCCATTGTTATCCATTGATCAGTATATGCATTACTTAGTTCAATCTATCTATTGTTCAATTTGTCAATCTATTAATTGGTTTTATCAAAATTTGTTTAATCAGTAATTCTGTCCACAATTTCATTCAACTCTACAATTAAATGTATTAATCATTTATTAATTCATCAATCAATCTATCGCTTTGTCATTTAATCCATACTCCGTTTCTCATTTAATTAGTCAACTATTGAATTATTCAATCTATCTTCCTATAAATAATTCAGCTTACACATTATTTTCCAGTACAATTCTCACTATTAAACCGTTAACTATGACTTTCGCCTCAATAAACTCCTAATTTGATGCTTATTGATAGTTTAGGTATGATTAAGGATGCAAAACAGGCGTTACAGTACAAGTACTTACAGTATAAGTACTAATAAACAGCTAATATGCTAATAATATCCAGGTATATAAGTCAGCAGTTAATTGTGAGAATAGTCCCAATACTAAAGTGTTACCATCATCAACATCTAATAACTACTATTATTAACCGTCAATAACTCCGGTACTTACTGTAAATGTGCTGAGATCAGCCGTAGTCGTGCAGTATCACTCACCTGTCTGTGTGTGCTTGTGTGTTGAGACGCAGATGATCCTGTGTGTCCAGTTAAAGT